GAGAAAACGATTAAGGAGTTAATGATTGAAGCAGAGGAAACAGAGATCACGAAACAGAAACTCATGAAAGAATGTGGGCAATTAAAGGAGAAATTGGTTGTAAGAGAGAAGGAATTGTTTTCCCTCTCTAGAGAAGCACATCAGGTTAATGAGAGTAAAGTACCGACTCAGATAAAGGAATTAGAACGCAAAGTTTCTAGCTTGAAACTCGAGAACAAAAACTTGTGCACCCGAAAGAGAGAACTTGAAGAGAAAGTCAAAGGTCGAGGCAAGGAAGCTAAACAACTAGGAGAGGAAAATTCAGGACTGCGATCCCGTATTTTAGAACTTGAAATGACATCCAAAGAGAAAGAACATACACTTTCTGCTCTTCGAAGGAAACTTGAGGAAAATGAGAGTAACTCGATGTCTAAGATTGAGGATTTGATGGCACGCACCAACAATTTGCAATTGGTAGTGGACACTTTGCGAGCTCAAAAAGGCGAATTGGAAGAACAAGTGTTGTTCAAGAGCAATGAAGCATCGGTTGAAGTGAAGGGCGTACTGGATCAGATTAATGTTTTACAACAGGAGCTGCATTCCCTAACCAGCCAGAAAAGTGAATCAGAATCGTCTGTAGAGAAAGTAACTCAAGAAATATCACATTTCCTCATTCAGATAGAAAATTTGAAAAAGAAGTTAGAAAGCAAGACAATGGATTTACAGAGAATGCTAGAAGAGAAAGTGGGTTTAGAGAGACAAGTGAAGGACCTGGAGCTAGAAGCGGGTTCTCTACGCAGCAAGAAAAGTGAGTTGGAAGAACAGATGAGAAGTAAAAATTATGAGGCTGATCAGTTGAGAGAAGAAAAAGAAGGGTTACATGTTAGAATCTATCAGTTGGAGAAATCATTAAAGGAGAGGATTGATGAACTCTCTGCTCTCCAAATGAAGTTTGAGAATTTTGGAAATGATTCATCTTCTCAGATTAAGGCTTTAGTAGCAGAGTTGGATTCATTAGGGGGTGAGAAAACCCAACTGGAGTTGAAGATTGAAAGAGAGAAACAAGGCTTAATGGAGAGATTGACTTGGATGGAGAAACAGAACATTGAATTGACAAGCAAGACCGTGGAACATCAAACAACTATGAAAGGCCAAGAAGCTATTATCAACAAGTTGAACGATGAGCACAAACAAGTTAGAGATCGGTATCTTGAGTCCATGCTGAACCTGCAAATTGCAGAGAGAAAGATTGAAGAGACTGCAGAAGAATTTCGCAAGAAATTTGAAGATAGTCTCCGTATCTTGAGCAGGAGGATCCGTGTTGCAGAACAGTTACACGTGGAGAACAAAGATGTGTACAGAAAGACGAAAGAGACATACGAGAAACAACAAACGGACCTCAAAGAAAGGGTTGCAACTTCTGCAATCGCGGTCAAGAAAATGAAGGAAATTTCGCTGACGGCAAATGATATCTTGACTGGTTTAGATGTGGTGGCACTGAAATTCGAGGAGTGTAGTGGGAACTTCTTGAATCGAATTTCCAAGACTTCTTGTGAAGTCTTGTTTGCGAAGGATTGGGTGAGAAGGAAAAACAAAGCGATAAAGCACGTTCAGGAAGACGTGGATTGTCTGCTTTCACAGCTGGATACGAAGGAAGCAGAGATATTGGGACTGAGAGAGAAGGTTTGGAAGTTGGAGAATACGGTGAGAGAATTGAAGAAGATGGTGAAAGAGAAAGAGGAAGGAATGTTGGGTATGAAGGAGGAGAAGAGAGAGGCTATAAGACAGTTATGTGTGTGGATTGATTATCATCGGAGTCGAAGTGATTATCTCAAGAAAATTCTCTCTGATATGATTGCTGTTAGAAGCCAGAGGACACCATAGAACATTTTCTTGATTGTTTTCCATTCAATTTTTGGTAACTTTTTCTTAATGAATCATTAACAGTTTTGTTCATTCTTTCAACTAGACAGTTGGTGCCTACTGAATAAATACTATGGGGGGTATCTGTCAAACATCATAGTCTGTGAATCATGTGAAAGTTAGTTGCAACCTAGGCTTTCCTAATTCACTTGTTCAGATTGTATAGGAAATTACGAGGCTGTTTTTTGAAGCTTAAATGAGTTGATTATAACTTATTTTAATTTAAGAGTTTGTGTCAAGTTGTTTGATGCAACTTCTACTTATAACTTATTAAGCAAAAATAACTTAAATAAGCTGATTATCTATAAGTTGAGAGGGGTGTTTTTGGCTATGCATTCTGATTATCAACTTTTAGTTTTACAATACGCAGCAACCATCTTTTGATTTGCAACCACAAGTAGGAATGCATTGCTCTTGTCATGGGTAGACAATTTATAAATAGGAATAACTCCGCTCCAGTCCACTGTTTGAACCGGAGGGTTCAGTTTGGCTCATTGGGGGTTCATTTTGAGTTCATTTCATTGATCCAAGCTGTTAAGGTTTTAGTGCATTTGAGTAGATATACAAAAAAAAAAAAAAAAAAAGGTTGTTTTAATATATGTATATATTGGTAATCACATGTTTAGATCACATTTGTCCTTTTAAAAATAGATGGTAAATATAATTTAAAAATAAGCCCTGTAATTTTTTTTAATACATGTAGGATGTAATCCAAACATGTGATTATTGATATCTGGCTTGCTCAAAAAAAAAAAAAAAAAATTACTGATATCTGGCAAATTTCAAATGCATTAAACATTGAATGGTTCAGATTAAAAAATAAATCCCCTAATGAGCAAAATTGGACCCATATATATCACATAAAATAATCTTGACCACACATATCACATGGTGGGATCTATCATAAAAATACAGTTTCATTCAAATTGCGCTCCTAATGTTTTATGTGACGGACGGTTTACATCAACACAAATTGATAGTTCAAGGTGTCAAAATATAGCATTTTTTATTAGTTGGAGTGAAGTGTAACTTGCACTAAAGGAAACTACTGTTTTGTTTAGTGTCTGGAGTTAAAGTCTCAAATAGCAGAAATTATATAGTAGGTCAAGAAGACCACGTGTTCATATGCCAGACCAATGAAATGTTATAGTTTGTGCACCAGCTCCTTGTTATTAGGGCCATGTATTTGTTTAGCTCCTTACCATTGGTTGGCACACAGCCAACGTGGAATTCCTAGAAGATAGGATTATTACTCCTCAAATTGGATTGAATCCATCATCTCATTACTTCTCTCTGTGTGAGTGTTTGTTATGTTGAGTAAGAGGGGAGTTACAAGGTTTTCAAAAGCTTTTCAAATGTATTTGATTCCACAATTCAAAAGAAATAGACAATAAATGAAAACAACGTTGACAAAGCATAAGGAAGAACAAATCAAAACCGCAAAGGAATATATATGCACCAAATTACTGATTTCTATTAAATAACCAGTCATACAAATAATTCTCTCCATGTAATAACCAGTTACAGAAATAACACTGAAAGCTAATAGAGGGCATCTAGTGCATCCTTCTATAGATGCATATGAATGAAAAAGCTAAAATCAAGGGGAGATTGGTAAAAAATGTGGAGGACAGTATCAACATGGGCTATAAATTGGTTTCTAAATTTCCTCACAATCTGAAAAAATAAAAAAATACAAATAGTTCCCTTAATTTACCTTCTCCATTCCTTTTTTCTTGCAAAATTTAGTACATAAGTTCAACCAATTCCTGAACTTTCATGTGTTGTCAGTCTGATATCTTCATCTCAACTCCAAGAACGTCCTTTACCGCCTCATATGTCACAAATGCAATTGCTATGGAGGGGACCACCTATAGGGTGACAATTGCAATAAAATGTTAATCAAATAGTTTCCATCATAAATGAAAGGACAAACGACCAGAGATAGAACTGAAGAATGCAATTGTCCTTTGATCAAACTAAAACAGTGGGGGAATGTATTAAAAGATGATCATTGTAATATGTAGTACAAACCTTCACTGAATTGGGGACCAAACCCTTGTACAAAGCTCGAAAACCCTCATGCCGTACTGTTTTTCTGAATGCATCGACCATACCAGAATACTCAAGTGGGGCCTTGCTCTTCCCGTCACCAGTGACAAGTGAAGCAGCATCTTTCCAGCCCACCATCTGCATCCTTCGACGTATAACATCAAGAGGATAAGCAACTGTCTGGCCAACAGTTCCAGCAGCAGCCCCACATGCAAGCTTTGTTGTAACACTCAACTCGGAGTCTTCAACTAGTCCAAATGGTCTAGTTTTGATCAACCAGTCTTTTAAAGATTCATATACAGAAAAGTTCAGACCCACATACGGTATCTACAAACATCGCATTATATAATTTAGGCTTCCCAATATAGATATGAGAAAACGATTCATCATAATTATGAAACAAACAGATTCTTAATCTTTATCTTTAAAGAATAATTAGAGTGCAAGCCTATTATGTAACGCTCTGTCTTCAGCATATAACACTCATCAGCACAAAGCTGGTGAAGAATGATAATGGAAAAATCTTTTGACTACAGGAAGACAAAGAAAATTTTCATAAGGATTCTAATAAAAGAGTGATATCATTACCATTTTCATGTGTAAAAGAATTCAACAGGTCCAGATGAACCATAAAATAACAACATTTAAATTGTGCAAGTCACATCAAGCATTACTTACCCCCTCCCCCCCCCCCCCCCCCCCCCCCCAAAAAAAAAAAGTCACATCAAGCATGTACTTGCAGTATAACCAGACCTTAAGAAAAGAAAGAACTATTCTCATTCTTTTAAAGCATCCATGATATTTAATCAGTCGATTCCATCTTTCGAATCACATTTTGAAGGGTTAAAAAAAAAGAAAAAAAATCACAATGCTGCCTATCTGAGATTTAATTTGTCATATCAATAAATCAAAAGTGTACACCAGTACCAAATGGTTCCAAATTTAACCCATCCTAAAAAAAAATTCATTCCCAAACCAGAAGTCTACATATATCAGCTTGTAGACTTCAAACGAACAAGCAATCAATAAACTAATACAGGGTTACTTACAACTCCTATTACTGAAGGAAGCCATCCTTTGTATAAAGCACGAGGGCCTTCTTCATGGAAAACTGATGAAAGAGCGTGAGAGATTCCTCTATATTGGCGAGGAGACGCCTCGGTCTACAAACATCAAGCACAGGGTAAAAAGTGAGACCATCAATTCCTAATTCAGGACAGCCTGCACTCTGTATGGGGAGGACCAGGACAAAACTACATAAATTTGACATACAGAAGGAATCACCAAAATTGTAAAAATATATGTATTGATGATTGATTTATTGATTGATTTGTTGATGTTATTTTGTATTACAAATCAGAGTGGCATTATATAGGAGAGGGTTTGGGTAGTAAGTGAGGAGTAGGTGAGGGTGAATTGGTGGTAGGTGGAGTGTAGTAGGTGAGTGTGAATGGTAAATTCTAACAAAAATATACCTGGACAGTAAGCCGCCCTCGTACCAAGTCCATTGGGTAAGTCGCTGACATGGCAATGATTCCAGCACATGCTCCGGCTCCAACGCGTAAAAGAGGAGTGAGTTCAGCATCTTCTGCAAGAGATGACAATGGAAAAATAAGAACCCCCATCAATATGGCTACATCACTTAAATTCAAACCCAAAATTTAACAACAGAAGAAATTTAGTGGCTAAAATAGAATTTTATATGTGGTTTTCTTTAAAAAATATTTATTATTTTTTGACTGTAAAAGTTTTATGTGTTGCTGTGCTCTGCACTTGATCATTCATTTTTATCTACTAAATTACAAATTACAATCAATACATCACACTGGAAAGAAAAATAGTCTATATCCCGCAGAGATTGATATCACATTCCATTTTGTATGGCACTTGAAACAAGCATATCTTGTTTTAGCACAGAAATAACATTTACTCTTCATAACAATTTTCAAATTTAAAAGTTAGAGAGCCAACATCGTATGAAGAAGGAATCAACCCAATGTGTTTAACATAGCATTTAAAACAAGTACATTTTTGGTATCATTTAATAGGACCTATTCATTTTCCTCAACAAGCATTTATGTTGCATTTGAATTTGTGGATTTGGGCACTAATGATTCAAGGAGAATAGTTCAGATTCAAATATGATAGTTTAGATATTCATTCAAGATTGAATTTGAGACCTTTACCTTGATGGTTTTAAATGGCCATGTAAAAGTAGTTATTTAAAATCCTTCACACGAAGAATTATAGTTAAAATAATTTTCTTCTTACTCTACCTTCTCTTTAGTTTCTCAATCTATCTATAACAACCAACTCTCCTATATTTTTATAAAGTTGAACCACCAATCCCTTTTGATCCATCTATCCAAACGCAACCTTAGTTTTAAACTTTTCAAATTAAGTTCTTCAATCTCTTTACAACCATATTGGTATGAGTTTCATTTATCATAATTGCTCCAGTCCAGAAACTGGATTTTAACATTCAAGTGCTTAGGGAAACAAATGAACTGCATGAATTATTAGAGGATCTACTATAGCGATAAATGCCCTTTTTGGGCAAAGCGTTAATTCTATTTTCATATAGAATGCTACTCCAAACTGTAGAAATATATTCAGACATATATCAAAACTTAATTTCCAATAATAAGGTTCCGGACTGTTTAGAAAACATGGCCCCTACACACGCATGAAAGAACAAGAAGGCAACAGGAATTTGTCTTAAGAGTTCAGACTTTAATACAATTTTTAAACTGGATTATCATCTAACCACCAGTTACTCCAACATACAACATATGCACTTGTGAGTATATTACCACTGTAGACACCACAATCCATTACATATTCTACTTTGACAAGAATTTCGACCAATGAACTAGTGGATCATCCATACCAATATGTGTTAAGAATGAGGAAACTCATATCAAAAGGAATCATACCTCATGCAAAAGGGCAAAAAAGAACTTGATGTAGCCCAAAAGAACAGAAAGAAAAAACTGGGAATCAAATCCCAAATAATATCTCAATATTCAAAATCATATCCTTAGTCTAATAAAATCAATTACATAAGCCTTATTATATTAATCAATAAGAACATATTCTAATTAGGAAACCAAAAGGAATAGAAACTGTTGAAATTATAATATTATGTATTGATGTTATTACAATGTTGTTGAAATTATGTAATATATTGATTGTTATTGATGTTATACAAATAGATTTGTTTACAATTTCCTATACAATTTATAATAGAAGAAAATGTGAGGTATGGTGGTGTAGGGAGCTGGTGATAGGGTTAGGGGAATGGAAGTGTTGGTGAAATGGAGTAGGTGAAGGGAGTGTGTAGTGGAGTAGGTAAAGTTAAAGATGGAAATTCTAACAGCCCCCCGCAAACTCAATGAGGAAGAACTAACCAACTTGAGTTGAAAGAGGAACAAAAACAAGAAAATACTAAAAAAAGGATAGGAGACACTGTTGTCGTGTCAAGACGTTGTGAAGACCTATGGTGTGTCATAACGTTGTAGAGGACACTTATGGTGTCTAACGTTGTAGTAGACACTTATGGGCGTGTCAGTTAACTGTAGGGACACTTTGATTGGGGTTCAGACGTGTAGAAGACAGTTATGGTCATGTCGGACCGTTGGTAAGAAGACCCAGTTTAGGGGTCATGTCGGACCGTGTAGCAAACAATGTTGTGACAGTGTTGGGACAGATTTACGGAGTCTTGTTGGACCCTGTAGAACATACCGGAATCATGCGGGACAGTTTGTAACAGAGTTCTTGTCTGACTTGTAGAAAACTAACCGAATTCTATGCGACAGTTTTACAGAGTCTTGTCGACCCTTGTAGAAACTAACCGAATCATGTCGGGACAGTTACAAGAGCTTGTCGACCTTGTTAGAAACTAACCGGACATCAATGTCGGACATTTACAGAGTCTTGTCGACCCTTTAGAAACTAACCGGAAAATCAAGTCGGACGTTTAAGAGTTCTGTCGGACCACAAAAGGAGCAAACCGGAATCAATGCGGACAGTTTACAGAGTCCTTGTCGACCCCTAAAAAATCGCATCCCAAAAGTGCGCCCAATTATTTCAAAAGGCGTGCCATCAAAAGGCGTGCCCACTTATCAAAAAGAGTGCCATTGAAAGGCGTGCCAGTGTCGGGCGAAGAGCGCATGCGGCGCGTGTCTGCTGCTACTTTAAAACAAACGGTTGAGCGCGCGGCTGTGCACGAGTCTGAAACTCTGAACGTCGAGAGCTTGTCTCTGCAAATCTTGAAACACCCGCGAACAACCCTTCTTCCTGAAACAGCTTAGCCAACTCAAAACATGGCTGTCTTCCGTCAGTTACCCAGAGACCGCTCACGCTCTTTCCAACTAACGAGCCCACAAGAGAAATAACGGGGTGCGGTGGCCAGTGAACCGCCATACCAGAAACTCTGGTTTTGCTTCCATTGAAACGTTATACCAGATGCGGTCGGGTGGAGCAAATCCAAAGAGAAAATAAATGGCGAGTGCAAACTATATGCTAATCAGATATACCTTGAAGTCAATGCGTGGAAACCATGACGCGTCACAAATTGTCGAACCGCTGAGAGAGGACAAATGAGGTGCAGCATTTAAACTCCAGCGGTCTGCTCCAACGCTGTATAAGTCCGAGCAGAGATAGCTGCTAAGGCAGAAAACAAGAGCTGAGCGGAGGCCACCGTGTGTTCCGATTTGGAGCTACCACTATGCTGCAGTGGATGTATGGTAGGATACTTAAACGTGCTCTGCTTGTGCGTGAAACACGGAGCAGCACTGTCAAGGAACTGTTGCCCAGACGGAGCAAGAGAAAAGACCTGGTCGAATAGCGAAAGTGAGGTCGTTATGGGCGCTTCTGCCAGAAAAGAAAAACAAATTTGTGTTGTTTGTTGCTGTTGTTTTTTTTTTTTTTTTTTTTTTTTTTTTTTTTTTGTTGGTAAAATTTGGACGGGTATTCCTGAGAATGAATAAAAATATGATTGGTTTTTTTTTTTTTTTTTTTTTTAGATTTTATTTCGACAATAAATAAGAAAAAAAAAAAAAAGAGAAATAAATGTGAAAATAAATAAATAAATAAATAAAAACAAAGAAAGAAAAATACTAATATTTGAAAACATAATAATAATAATAAATAATATAATAATAATAATATTATGTAAAATTGGACGGTGGAAAGAAAAAAAAAACAATAATAATTATAATATATATAATATATTCAGATAAAGAGGTTGGTGATGGAAAATGTAATGTAATGTATTTTAGGGTGGAGAAAATTATTTTTTTAAATTTTTTTTTAAATTTCGAATATTAGGTTAATATAATATATTTCTCTCTCCCCACAAAACCAGCTGTCACGACAGTGCCATCCCTCACTTGACAAATTTTGATGGCTTTCTCTCACTAAATTGTTAATAGTTTTTAATACATAAATACATTGGGTCCCCTCATCCCCAAAGCTGATACCGAGCTATGGCACCCATCCTCTGCAATATTTGATGCTTTCTACTCACCCCTGGTTTTTTTGGGGTCGGAGCTGGATGGTAATCTCACAAACCAAAGACATCCAAACTTCCAGTCAGTGCCCTCCAAAACCTTAGCATGGTTAAAGAGTAGATATTGGGACTGGAACCTATGGAATCTCGAAAGCATTTGGCGATCGAGGTCCATTCCTTCAACGGACAGTTGCACTCCGTTACGTGATTCACACATTATTAAGATAATACTCCTTTTCATCTTTCCTGCACTCGCTTCGTTAGATTGATAAGCATATTAAGGCGACATTTGAGATCCATACGACGATCCCTTTTGACACTGTTGTGGATGTCCCACACAAAACGAAAAAAAGGATAATACCTCTATACGAAAAAAACTTCCTCCAAATTACATTGCGCCTACTTCTTGCCTTCTTCCTTATCGCACGCTGCCTTCCCATTGGTTTTGTTATCTGTCTTTCGCTCCTGCTCTGCGACTAGAACTGACTGGTAAGTAGAGAGAAGAGAGATTCATCGATTATTCCGATTTACAAGTTTGTTATCTATGTAGGATGTATATTTTATGTATTGATAGA